ATTTAAACTAATGGGGTTAAGGCTTTAATACTTATATGTGAGTAAAGTCTATTAAGTATTTTACAATAAAAATTTATATTCACTTTTTAAAATTTTTCACAATGTAACAAGTGGAGAATAAAGGATACAAATTATTGGTAATATATATATTTATTTATTTATAAAAAAATTTAATATTTTATTTTACATATTTTATGATGAGCAAGGGGAGGATAAACCCTTAGTGTAAAGATAAAAGCTTTGATATTTACATATTAATTATTTTACTAATAAAATTTTATATTTTATATTTTCTTTTGTAAATCCTTTATGATGAGCAAAAAAAAAATAAAAGAAAAAAAACAAAATTGTTACTTGTAAGTAAATTTATACTAATATATATACTCACTATTTATTATCACTATTGTCTAGGTCCCCTACATTTGGTAGTAAATAGTTTAACGAAACTCTTCATGCAAGTAAAAATGTAATGAATTTTACAATTATTATTTTATTTAAATATCTACTTTATTTATGAGCCTCTTTCTTTTCTCTATTCCCTACATAGTTGGGAATGTTTTTAATATTGGAGTTCAAACTCTTGATTGAGCTATCAAATATACATTCCAATATTTCTATTTTTGTGACTTTCAAAAAATTTAATATACATTCTCTCTTTATTATGCAATGATCAATTGTATATCTTTGGTCCATTATAATTAGTTTATGAATAAAGTGGTGGTCTAACATTTAAATATACTTAGACTTTTTTTAGAGCTATCTTATACTCTTCACAACCCACATAATAATAATTTAAGGATGCTAGCTATTTAGCCTACATTTATTATTATTTTCTACTTGTGTTATCCAATATTTTAAAAAAAATTGAAATCAATTATAACATTTAGAGTCTAATGTAAATATGCATAGAGTGAAAGGAAATCCTATGTTAAAAAACAAAAAAGCTCTAAAAAAATTAATAAAATAGATAACTATAAAAATAAGGAAAATGATATAAAAAAAGGGTTAATTTAGGCTCAACCCCCTTTCTTGAAATGATTAATAGTGTTTAAAAGAGGTTAAAGCTGTTTCTAAAATGTTCTAGATCAATAATTATAAAATTATAAATGCTAATGTGATTGCACTTCATTTTTAATAAGCTTTGGACATTTTTCAAAAGTTTTAATTTTAGCTCATAACATCTTTAAATAATTTTGTTAAATAATCTTCATTTCTCTTACTTGCAATTCACTAAATTTTGTTTAGTCCTTTGTCTTTGGGGCTTATCTTTCTTTGCTTATCATGAGAGATTTATAAAACAAAATAGTAATAAAAATTATGTTTAAATAAAAATTAACACTACCAAAAACTTCTATTTTTTATTTTTCTGTAAGGATCTACAAGTGAAAATTTATGTTTTGTAATGAAATAACTAATACAGTTTATTATCATATAAGTTTCAAAATCTCAACCCTAGTAGTTATATGTTATTCATTGTGAGGGATGTACAAGTGAATAAAAAACTTGTGAAAAAAAAAATTTAATAATTTAGTTCAAAATAAAAATTTTATAGTAAAGAAATGTAATTACCTCCTTGTAAAGCCCTAGATCTTCATGGTGTTAATGTTCCAGACCCTAACACAACCCTTGGTAAATAAAAATTAAAACTTTATTGTTATGTATACTTAAAGTATCGGACAGGAAAGGGTTCTCCACTAGTGAATTTTGTGGTCGTAGAATCTTACTACCTGCAATATTTGTAATTTATTTTTACTACCAATTATTGTAACTTTAATATATTTGTAATATAAAACTCTTTCGACTAATTTCATTATTTTCCACATCTCAGAGAAGGGGCCATTTAATCTCTCACTCCATCTCCATTTCAACATTAAAAATTCAGAATTTAGAGTTTCTTTAAAATCTTTTTAGCACAGTTACATCAATTAAAACATAAGTTTAACTATTTCAAGAGTTTGAACAACATAAGTAGAAAAATAATAATGAATGCAACTTAAATAGTTAACATTTTTAAATTGTCACTGTGTGAGCTATGGAAAGTGTAAAATAGTTCCAAAATAAATCTAAATATATTTTAATGTTGTACGAGGGTTTATAAATGTAATATATGAAAAGTTTTGCTAAACTTTTTATTCTACTTCACTTTTATTTTCAAATGTAAGGGTAATATAGATAATAATGAGAAATAACAATTGCATAATAAATGTAATATCAATACATACCATTTTGAGTGCACCATTATTTACTTAATGTTAATTTTGCATCAACTAAAGGGTCATCATCCCATTGCTCATCATAAAATATATATAAAATAAAATTGTAAAAATCGCTATAATTAAATAAAAATCAATATTAACAAAAACTTGTCTTTTTATTTTTCACTTGCTCATTTTGATAAATATAAAGCTTTATGACAAATTAATAAATAGAATTTACTAGTATATAACTCTCGAATCTTCAACCGCACTAGTTTAAATATTACCATTGTGAGGAATTTACAAATAAAAGAGTGAATAGAAAACTTTATTTATAAATAAAACTAATAGCTTATTTGAAAAATATTTTTTTTGTGGCATAAAAAGGAAATAAAAAAATATAACTTTGAGCTCAGCATTAATCCTCTAAATTTTAATACAACTTTTAGCAAATGTAAATTTAAATTTTATTGTTATATATATCTAGGTATTGAGTGGGGGATGAAAGTTCTTCATATCCTAAAGAAATGGCTATTCAATCTTTTATTTTGCTTTTATCTTAGTAGTAGAATTTAAGGTTTTAACATTTTCTTGAAAACGTTAATTGAAACATAACTTTAATTATTTTAAGGGTTTGGATAGAAAATAGGAATCAATGTAAACAAGATAATTAGCATTTTTAAATTATCACTATATGAAATGTGGAGAAGGTAGGATAACTCTAAAAAACATTTAAGTATATTTTGATGCTATAAAGTTTATAAATATATAGTATGGATAGTGCTTGGAAGTAGACCACTTAAGATATGCATAAATAATGAGTGCAAAGTTTATTATAATTTTTTATTTGTATAAAATATTTGGCTGAACTTTTTATTTTGTTTAGCTTTTGTTAGTGAATGTAAAGGATGTAGATAATAATGAGAAATAAAATTATATAATGAGTGTGAGATCAATGTATACCATATTGATATACTAGTGTGTAATATTATTCATCTATAGTATCTCAATAAATAGTGAATATAAAACTTAATATAGATTTATTTATAAATAACACTTTTGCTTATTGTGTTACTATTTAGAGTCATTCTCCATTTGCTGATTATTGTAAGCAACTAAAGGGAACGACTTGATAGACGGTCTCTGGGGTTCAAATATAAAAGGAAAGGGCCCATGAATAAAAGTGCACCCCCTTTTCCAATCGGTTAAGGGTCTTAGGATACTTGGGTTAAATGTCCTTGGGTTTGAATAGTATGACTTCCCGGGAAGTCCAAACTCAGAAGCTCACATTTGGTATTAAAGAGGTTTTAGGTCCGACTCTGTTGGTTGGCTAGGGGAATCACACCATATGTTGATTGACATTTAGCTTGTCCAGTTTTGCTCCCGATGGGTAGGGTGTCAAGAGAGCGGGGCTCTCGGGAGAACTGTGGTTCTCAGCTTCCGTTCACGAGGGCGTGAACTTACAGGGAAGCGTGGTGGATTGTAAGCAACCAAAGGGAACGACTTGAAAAATAATCCATAAGGTTCAAATATAAAAGGAAAGGGCCCATGAATAAGAGTGCACCCTCTTTTCCAATTGGTTAAGGGTTTTGGGATACTTGGGGTTAAGTGTCCTTAGGTTTGAATAGTACTGTGAATAGTATTAGGCTGGGTGACATCCCGGGAAGTCCAAACTCAAGAGCTCACAATTATAAGGGATCTACAAAAGAAAACATTAAATATAAAGCTTTATAGATAAAATAATTAATTATTTTATAAGTGTCAAAACCTTTATCTTCAAATGTTATATGTTCTCATGGCAAACTCAAGGGTTTATCCTTCATTTGGTCATCATTAAATATTTATAAAATAAAATAATAAAAAAATTGTGATTAAATAAAAACTAGCATTACCAACAACTTACTATAGTCACTACTTTATTAAAAGTTTTTTTCATCTTGGAGCTCAACCTTATCATCGCTCCTTACATATAAGTTTTAAACCCTTAACCTCACTAATTTGAATGCTCTTTATTATGATGTATTTACAAAATATAATAATGAATAGAAACTTTTATGATAAATAAATATTATAGCTCACCTTGAAAAACAATTTATGTGGCAAAGAAAGAAATAAAAAAATATAACTACCTCTTTCTAAAGCCCCAAATCTTCTTAACAAAACTCTTAGCAAATAAAAATTTAAATTTCTTGTTCCACCTTTATCTCAACACTAAAAATTATAGTTTTAATGTTTTTTAAAAAACTTTTTGGCATAGTTTTATCAATTAGAACATAACTTCAACTGTTTCTAGGGTTTGAATGACATAAGTAAAAACAAGCAATGAATGTAAATTAGATAGTTAATATTATCGAGAGTTTTATACACTTGGAGAGTGTAGGATAATTCCTAAAGAAGGCCAAACATTTTTAAATTCTAGACCACTACTTTATTCATTAATTGATTGTAATAGATCAAAGATATATAGTTAATCACTACATAATAATGAGAGAAATAAAAGATCTTGAGAATCACAAGGAGAATAAATAAATGGAAATGTATATTTGATAACTCAATCAGAAGCATAAATTCCATCTTTATAATTTGTACCACCCAGAAAAGGAAAATTATCGAATTCATTTAGTTGGCCCATGTCACTGGCTAAATTTCTACCACACTGTGCTACAAGTTTTTCTGCTTCTAAGGTTATATAAGCTACTTTACTTATAGTTCTGTAAATCATAAATCAGTTAGATCGTCCAAAATAACGAATATACCTATAAAGTTTCAAAAATTTCTCTTCGTTTAGGTCATAATTTCCAGGAGCTATGGGGGCAGGGTCTGAGAAATCCGAGGTAAGCAGGATGGATCTCACGCTCGATCTTCCATCTCGGCGAGGAGCTAGCTGGCTAGTGATTGGGACAATGCCCGTGCCCCGGTCGATCTGTGTGCGTCAAGACCGCCATGGAGGAGTTTGTGATCCGGAATTTGCAACAGCAGGACCGCCTCGTGATCGGCCGAGCCCAAAGTCAAGAGGATGATACACGCCGGTCGAGCTGCGGCAATCAGTGCAGTGAGCCCCGGAGGAACTGAGATCCGTCCGGGCTAAAGGCCGGAGTCGATTTTCTCCACGCAAGAACAGGAACCCCGTGTCGAGCATCATGCTTCTCTCGGACGGGAAGGACAATGCGAAGTTCTTCCGGTGACAGTGGTAGCGAGGGCGTTCCAGTGCACCCTTTTGGATTTGGATCCCGAGGCCATGCTGAGCATCGCCCAGGCCACCGACGGTAGCCGTCCAGCACGCGTTGGTGGCACAGGAAGTGGAGGTCTGTGATTGAAGTGGTGCCAGCATGAAGGGATTTTCTGGTCGATTGTCCATCTCGCAATTGCGGCTCATCGTTCACTCGCATGTAAGCATTCGTCACCATTTCCTTTTATACTTGTTTGTCTCCTTTTTTTGTTCTCTTTTTCTGGCAGCTTCTTCTTCTGGCTGGAGGCCGCGTAAGTAATTGTCGAGTGTTTTTCTCATATCTTGCTCTTCTTCCTATGTAACTTAGTGAACTATCTTGCAGCCACTCCCAAGGAAGGCAATGGCGATCTCGTCGTTCGTTACAATGGTGGGCTTAACCAGCAGCGGAGACATTCTAGTTTCCTTGCTTTTTATTTCCAGCTTCATCAGTGTGGCTCTGCAGATTTGCAATGCAGTTTTGGCAGCGAGGATAATGAATGCAATGCCTGTGTTGCCGGAGTAGGATACTCTCTGTGGAACGATAAAAGGTCCTTTTATCTTCTGCTTTCTCGTCCCTGGTTAGGATAAAGAGCAAATAGTTGTTTTTGATGTTGCAGACGTCAAGAGTCGTTTCAAACCGGACGTGATGCAGCAGGCTCCGCGCTGAAGGCCACTTCATGTCGATCCACCTCCCTGGGTACGTACTTTCGACTTTTGCATTCTTCCTCCACTGACAAGCTTCTCTTAGGTGCCTCGCCATCTTCAAACCGGAAGAACAGGAGATACTATGAAAGTACCGCGAGCAAAACTTTGCCAAGAAGCGCCTCGTCTACAACGAGAGGCGCTTGATCGGGAACTGTCCCTTGACACCGGAAGAAGTAGGTTCATCCTCCAGGCAATGGGCCTCGACAACTCGACGCGCCTCTACCTCGCAGCGGGCGACATCTTTCGAGGCGAGACGTTCATGCAGCCACTGTATCCTCACCTAGAGAATCGCACCACCGTCGCTGCTCCGGAGGGGCTGGAAGCTGTTCAGGCCGAGGGGGCTGAGACCGGCGGTGGACTACATGGTGTGCTTGCTCTCGGACGTCTTCATGCCAACTTACGCCGGTTCTTAGCAACTTTGCTCCTGGGCCACAGGCTTTACTACGGCTTCCGGGCGTCCATCCAGCCCAACAGGAAGGCTCTGGCACCGATCTTTATGGCTCGCGAGAGTGGTGGCGGCGGCGGCGACGCTAACTTCGAGGCCATGGTGAGAGGCGAGGTCTTCCCGCCGGGTGAATCCCGAGTCGTCTTCACGAATCGCTGGCCGGAGTGCTTCTCGGGCGAGAGGTGCCCAGCGACTACCAGCATGAACGCCAGGGCTTTGGAGGAAGGTGGCGACGGGCCCTTCGGGTGGAAGGATCGAATAATTCATCTATCTTGTTAGTTTATAATGAAAGAACATAGGCAAATGAACAACCGCGTTGCTTCATCTCGGGCCCCAATTGGTACGTTTCTCAGCAACAAGCTGTTTGAAATGCATGGCATGGTCATTTTTTTCTACTGATGCTGTCTACATTCTTGGGCAACTCTCGGTTTGAAAAAAGAAAAGCATATGCTTGAATTTGCCTCTGTATATGGCTACGTATATTTTGTTTGGTCGAAAGAAAACGTACACATACGTGTGTTCATAATGACCACAAATCAATGGGTGGTGCTTCCGCTGCTATGCTGTGGACTTTTCACTCCTTTCCTGGTATGATGGGGTTGGAGTGTTCGCGTTCATCGTGATTTCCATGGGGGTTCTTTTAGTTTGGCCTTTGCGGCTCTACCGCTAGCATGGCAAGTACAAGCCCTTGTACTTGTGGGATCAATTTTCTACGCAGGGCTGCTTCATTTCTACATGTTACACTCCACTTGACCTTCTATGAGTGGTTTTCCAGCAGACCTTGATGTTGACAAACAGCTTGCTGTGATGCAGGAGAATGCCATTCAAGCTTTGAGGGAGTTTGCTGAGGCAACAACCCCAGAATTTGAAGAGCCTGCTTAGTTGAGTTGGTTGCTATTTATTTCAAGTAATCCTTAAGAAATCCATTCTTCTTAGTGAGAATTTGTAGTTTTAAAATATTATGTGAATTTATATAAAGCTGACAAATATCCTCTTGGTCAAAGTCCACGCATGGCGACCAGGACAGTGTGCTGCTTAACACAGTTTTGGGTTTGTTTGTTCGCTTGTCCTCGATGGCTGGAGGATCTCTTCTCGCTTCATCGCAAATAGGCAGATCAATTACAAGGGTCGCACTACCATTCCGGTGTTGCTAGCTTGCATCGCGCTAGCGGAGGTTTGATATTTGGATATGACATTGGAATCTCAGGTATAGAAGAGGTTTTTACTTATTGCAAGTTCTACAGATCTGCTCTCTCTCTCTCTCGCTGTGTTTTTTTTCTAGGTGGTGTTATTGCCATGGACGATTTTCTCATCAAGTTTTTCCCCACTGTCTATGTCCGCAAGCACGCTGCCCATGAGAACAATTACTGTAAGTATGACAACCAAGGTCTCCAGGCATTCACGTCCTCGCTCTATCTCGCGGCTCTCTTTGCCGGTAGGGAGGGGACTACTGGGACCGCCGGTGTGTTCTTGCTCTCGGTGATCTACATACGAAGAGCAGGTTGCAACTTCGAGCTTGGTGATAAAGCTGGTGAGGAAGAGGAAGCGACAAAGCTCGAGGTGGACAGGCAGAAGAACCGTGTGAGTGCCTCGAAGGCCATGGCTGCCGCTCGGAAGCTCTCATGAATTGACAAGCACCCACCGGCGGTCCCAGTAGTCCTCTCCCTTCGGCCTGGTCAGTCCGGAGCAGCGACGGTAGTGCAATTCTCCAGGTCAGGATTCTCGCAGTGGGTGCATGAACCTCTCGCCTCGAAAGATGTCGCCCACTGCGAGGTAGAGGCACGTCGAATTGTGTCGAAGCCAATTGCCTGCCCGACTTCTTCCGGTGTAAAGAGACACTTCCGGCTTCCTGGACTTTCCTAGTATCTACTGAAGCGAGGCACCTGAGAGAAGCTTGTCAGTGGCGAAAGAATGCGAAAGTCGAAAGTACGTAAGCGAGCATGTCCATCTCATATCGGAGGTGGATCGACATCAAGTGGCCTTCAGCGCGGAGCCTGCTGACTTTCTCAGCTGCATCACGTCCGGTTTGAAACGATTCTTGACGTCGTGTCTAAGCGATTTGATAAAGTGTTGTAAATCATAAATGACCTCTGCAACATAAAAAAAACTGTTTGCTCTTTATCATAACCAGGGACGAGAAAGCAAACGATAGGACCTTTTATCGTTCCACAAGGCAGCACAAGCGTTGCTTTCATTATCCTCGCTGCCAAAACTGCATTGCAAATCTGCAAAGCCACATCGATGAAGCTGGAAGTAAAAAGCAAGGAAAATAGAATGCCAGAAGAAGCTGCCAGAAAAAGAGAGAAAAAAAAGGAGACAAACACGTAAAAACGAGGAGCAAGGAAATGACGACGAATGCTTACATGCGAGTGAACGATGACACCATCTTGCCGCAATTGCGAGACTAACACAGTAGCAGCACCGGGACAGAGATGGACAATTCCCTTCATGCTGGCAGTCACTTCCCCAGCAATCTCCTCGGACACAGGCTCTACTACGGATTCCGGACGTCCATCCAGCCCAACAGAAGGCTCTGGCCCCGATCTTCATGGCTCGCGAGAGTGGAGCCGCAAACTTCGAGGCCATGAGGTCTCCCCGCTGGGTGAATCCCGAGTCGTCTTCACCGGAGTGCTTGTAGAGCGATGGTCGCCCAGCGAATACCAGCATGAACGTCAGGGCTTTGGAGGAAGGTGGCGACGGGATCAAACGTGTCCGTTCGGGTGGAAAGATCGAATAATTCCTGTAAGAACATGCACGCAGCAAATGAACAACCGCGGTGCTTCATTTCAGGCCCCAATTGGTACGTTTCTCAGATTGAAATGCATGGCATGGTCTTTTTTTCTCTACATTCTACAGTGGATAGCGTTGTGTCGAAAGCTGTTTTGGAAGAAATTTTATCTGCAACCCACCCTCTTGGAGCTGGTTGTGTCATCAAAGAGGAATACATCGTCTGCGGAGACCATTGCTTGGGATGAAAACTCGGAGCGTCTTTCCAGTACCAAAAGGCCTTCTTGCCAGCATAAAAGGATATGCTTGGTTCTTAGGGTAAGGGGAATTTGCCCTATGGAGCAGGGATTGTTGAGCCCGAATGGTGAGTATGATCTGGCCGATATCTACAAAGACTGGAACCTCGGTCGCAACTGGATTATGTGGCGCCAGTTTTTGATGAATCACCTCTGTCATGGCTTCACTGCATATGGGTTTTATATGGCTACCATACATTGGCCCCCTCAGCGATCTGAAGAGGTATCTGCAACGATTGCAACCTTTGCTTTCATAGGGGCCGGGTTCTTCTCAGGTCAGTTTATTTTTCCTTCTTTTCCTAGAGACTAACAATGGCGTCCATGTAGCGCTTATGTATATTTTCTTTGGTCGAAAGAAAACTATCACATACGGTTTTCTTGTTGGGGGCATCAGCGGTGTGTGTTCCTTAATCACCACAAATCAATGGGTGATGCTTCTGCTGCTGGCGATATCATGCTGTGGACTTTTCACTCCTTTCATGCAACCAATTCCTGACGACTGGTATGATGGGGTTGGAGTGTTCGCGTCCATCGTGATTTCCATCGTGTGGATGTTGGTCTACGTGGGTTCTTATAGTCTGGCCCTTGCGGCTCCACCGCTAGCATGGCAAGTACAAGCCCTTGTACTTGTGGGATCAATTTTCTACGCAGGGCTGCTTCATCGCTACATGTTACAGTCTCCACGCGAACCTCTATGGGGTTATTGTGTTGGTTTTCCAGCAATGGATTTGGAAGAGGTTGATGTTCACAAACAGCTTGCTGTGATGCAAGACAAGGCCATTCAAGCTTTGAGGGTGTTTGCTGAAGCAACAGGGAATGCTTTACCCAAGAATTTGAGGAGCCTCAAGAAACCTCCGCACATCAATAGTTACCTCCGCAGATATGGTTAGCTCATTGGTTATAATTTATTTTAAGAAAGCCGTCCTTCTATTTGATTGATGTTTCCTACGGACAAAATTGTAATTTCTTAAAGGGAAAAAACTATATAAAGCTGGCAAATATCCTCTCGGTCAAAGTCCACGCATGACGACGAGAGCTTGGACCAGGACAGTGTGTTGCCTAACACAGTTTTGGGTTTGTTCACTTGTCCTCGATGGCTGGAGGATCTCTTCTCGCTCCATCGCTCGCAAATAGGCAGATCAATTACAAGGGTCGCACTACCATTCCGGTGTTGCTGGCTTGCATCGCGGCCGCCAGCGGAGGTTTGATATTTGGATATGACATTGGAATCTCAGGTATAGCAGAGGTTTTCACTTATTGCAAGTTCTTCTCTTTGTTTTTTTTGTTCTTTTTCTAGGTGGTGTTATCGCCATGGACGATTTTCTCATCAAGTTTTTCCCCACTGTCTATGTCCGCAAGCACGCTGCCCATGAGAACAATTACTGTAAGTATGACAACCAGGGTCTCCAGGCATTCACATCCTCGCTCTATCTCGCGGCTCTCTTTGCGAGCTTTGGAGCTTCCTACGTGACGAGCAACAAGGGGCGACGCCCAACAATGCTAATTGGTGGCCTCAGCTTTCTCGTTGGAGCGGCTCTCAATGCTGCCGCAGAGAATTTGGCGATGCTTATCATCGGCCGGATGATGCTGGGTGTCGGAGTCGGCTTTGGAAATCAGGCATGAAACTCCCTCATTCTTTTACCTTCGTCACAAACTTACAAAGGTTTGCATTTTTCTTTGCAGGTAAGCTTGATCTATGTCTAAAGTTCTGGTAAAGGAAGATTAACCATGTGGTTTTCTCCTCCAGGTAAGACTGCATTGGATTCTCATTTAAATCTTATGATTTTTCCTCCTGGATGAAACATTTTAACTTCAAAGGTAACTTCATCATAGAGAACGAAACAGTCTTTTATTTTATTTTATTTTATTTTCTTTTTGTTGCCAGTCAGTACCAGTCTACTTATCAGAGATGGCACCACCAAAACTTCGCGGTGGTCTCAACATAATGTTCCAGCAAGCCGTCAACTTTGGGATCTTGTGTGCGAATCTCATCAACTATGGCACTGCTAATCTCCAGCCCTGGGGATGGAGACTTTCGCTCGGCCTTGCGGCAGTCCCAGCATCGCTCCTCACCCTTGCGGCCATTTTCCTCTCTGACACTCCAAACAGCCTGATTGAGCGAGGCCATCTCGAGCAAGGGAAATCAGTCCTCCAGAAAATCCGAGGAACTCCAGACGTGGAGGCCGAGTTCCAGGATCTGGTGGAAGCCAGCAGAGTTGCCTCGACGATCAAGGATCCATTTCTAAGCATCTTTCGCCGGAAGAACAGGCCCCAGCTCACAATGGCCGTGCTCATTCCATACTTTCAGCAAGTCACAGGCATCAATGTTATAACTTTCTACGCTCCGGTGTTGTTCCAGTCGATCGGGTTCCACAGCAATGCCTCGCTCTACTCGGCAGTGATCACGGGATTGATGCTGATCATTGGAACTGGAATCTCGATCTTCACGGTTGACAAGTTTGGCCGGAGAGTTCTCTTTCTCCATGGAGGAATTCTTATGTTTATTGGCCAGGTAAGTCATGATCGATCGCAGTACTTACAAATGTTTCCAATGATTTTCAAGGTTGTCACTGGACTGGTTCTAGCATTCGAGTTCAATGGGAACGAAGAGCTCTCTCGGGGATTTGCAGTAGTGATTTTGGTGGTGACATGCGTTTACGTGGTTTCTTTCGCGTGGTCTTGGGGACCTTTGGGATGGCTGGTTCCCAGCGAAGTTTTCGCTCTTGAGACGAGATCTGCTGGTCAGTGCATCACCGTCGCAGTAAACATGCTCTTCACCTTCGCGGTCGCGCAATCCTTTCTCTCGATGTTTTGCCACTTCAGGTTTGGGATCTTCTTGTTCTTCGCGGGCTGGGTGGTGGTCATGACGCTCTTCGTGCATTTCTTCTTGCCCGAGACGAAGAAAGTCCCAATCGAGGAAATGCAGCAAGAGTGGAGTAAGCACTGGTACTGGCGTCGATTTGCTCAAGAACAAGAAAACCAAGATGATTCGAAGCCGTAGTGGAGGAATTTGATCGCTAAGAGAAAAGAATAATTTAACAGTCAACGCAGTCTTGTTTGACGGGTAGAAATAGTTGACGAGCCACAAAGCTTTGACTAAAACCATGGAGAATTTCTTTACTAGAAGAGAGGAGAGGTAGGGCGAGGAAGGCGAGAGGGAGAGGAGTGAGAAATTTGGATCGGGAGAAATCTTGCTTGTCTAGGAGGCTTTGGAGCGCGCATTTTCGATCTAGCGCCATAGTCGATCCACCATGGCCGCCATGACGCAGATGGGTTCGTCGATCTTGGCGCAATGCAGCAGCTCCGAGGCTGGGAATCAAAATCGGTCGCAAATTTCGGCAGATGGAGCAGCTGGGTTGCGAGTTTCCAGGCTAGAGTGCGCGAGGCTGAGCGCGTCGGGGAGGCAATCCACGAGTAGGTCATCCTCGCACAGGAGATTGGGTGAGAGGATAACCTGCGCAAAAAAGCGATAGATTTGATATTCTTTCTCTTTGGCAGAAGTTCGTGCTGGTGTGGGAAATACTTTTGGAAATCTCTTCCGCGTTACCACTTTCGGTGAGTCTCACGGTGGAGGAGTTGGATGTGTCATCGATGGATGCCCTCCGAGGCTCAATCTCACCGAGGAAGACATGCAAGAGGATCTAGACAGAAGGTATGTTCTTTCTTTCTTCCTATTGCTTTGAGTTCTTTGTGTGTAGTTCTTCATTTTATTCGTTGTTACTCCTTGTTACTCTTTGTGTGTTCTTTGTATGTTCGTTGTTTGTGATGAACTACTATGTTCTTTGTGTCTTCATTGTATGTTTTGGGAGCTTTGCTTATTCTCTTCGTGTTTTAACGAACAGGAGGCCGGGCCAAAGTCGGATCACAACTCCAAGAAAAGAAACAGACACTTGCAAAATTCTCTCTGGTGTGGCACAAGGTAATGTAGCTTCTTGTGTTTCCATTTGTTTCTTTTCTTCTCTAAGTGTACCAATCTCTTTCTCATAGGAATGACACTGGGGACTCCTATTGCTGTTCTGGTTCCCAACACGGATCAACGTGGAGGAGTAAGTTTTCGTTAATGGAAGAAACACTGGAACTTAATGTGCGGTGTTTTTCTGCAGGATTACTCAGAGATGGCTCTAGCTTATCGGCCATCTCATGCAGATGCTACTTACGACTTCAAGTATGGAATTCGAGCTGTCCAGGTTAAATCCAAACTTTTCCTTGCAACATCCCTCGGGGTGTTAAGCTTAAAATCTTTTTCAGGGTGGAGGAAGATCATCGGCCCGAGAAACAATTGGAAGAGTAGCAGCGGGGGCAATCGCAAAGAAGTTACTCAAACAGCAATGTGGAACCGAGGTACAGGATAAAGAGAGGAAGAAAGAGTTAAAGGATTTACAAACGACATTTTATTTTCCTTCTTACTAGGTGCTAGCTTATGTGTCAAGAGTTCATCAAGTTGAGCTTCCCGAAGGAGCAATCGACCATGACAACTTGACGCTAGAACAGGTACTAATTTGTGCTTTTATATTTCCTTGGCGTTCTCAAGTTTCGTGATTCCAGGTCGAGAGCAACATCGTGAGGTGCCCGGATCAAGATATGGCGGAAAAGATGATCGCTGCCATCGACGCTGTGAGAGTGAGGGGAGATTCCGTGGGAGGAGTCGTCACTTGCATTGCTAGAAACGTTCCTCGGGTAAGAAATATTCCTCTGCATTCACGCAAGTTTATATGAATCAAGCTTTTTTCTACTTTCAGGGACTTGGGACTCCAGTTTTTGACAAGCTAGAAGCCGAGCTCGCCAAGGCTCTCATGTCTCTGCCTGCCACCAAAGGCTTCGAGATTGGAAGTGGCTTTGAAGGTAACACGAGATCGCTTTCTACAAAAGTTTACAATGGTTGTGAACTTTTCTCGCAGGAACTAAAATGACAGGCAGCGAACACAATGATGAGTTCTACATTGACGAAATTGGTAACGTAAGAACACGTACAAATCGATCTGGTGGCATCCAGGTACGTGGAACTATAATCTACTGACTTCCTCTCCTTTTTTTTTCTAAACTTGCGAACAATTTATGCAGGGAGGAATTTCAAATGGAGAGACGATAGTGATGAGAATAGCATTCAAGCCGACGTCTACAATCACTGTAAGTTCTCTTTCGTCATGAATTCTCACTGCGCCGGCATTGATTTCGTTTGCTTGCTTGCTTCTCGCAGAAATTCCAAAAGACTGTAACGAGAGACCGGCAAGAAACCGAGCTGAGAGCTCGTGGTCGTCATGATCCCTGCGTCGTTCCTCGAGGTAACATCCAGGAATCCTTTCTCCTCTCGTGAATGCTCATCGATCGATTTCTTGCAGCTGTTCCAATGGTGGAGGCGATGGTGGCCCTGGTTCTCGCGGATCAGCTCCTCCAAAACTACGCCCAGTGCCAGTTTCTCCCTCTCGATCCAGTCTTGCAAAGCTCCAAACTCGCCGCCAATCCACCGGAGGAAGAACCAGCGGCAGCCCACGCGTGATCGTCTCCCCCTTGTCAAATTTTTTTAAACTTGAAATTGAGCGCCAATTTTTTCCAAAAGGAACTTTAGGAATGGGTGGGACACGTGGCGGAATTTAGGGTTCTTAAGATTGCTCGCTAGGGCTTTAGAAGAGAATGTGGTGTAGCTAAGAAATGGGGAACGCGTGCATCGGCTCCACTACCAACAGTAAGAACGGATTCTTCCATCGATCGAATTCCGAGGCGCCGCCGGCGTCGACACCAGCTCCAGCAATCGATCCGCCTCCCGGCGCGGTCCCTGTGGCAGCTCCCGTCATTGTTGTTCCACAGCGTCCGCAAGAGCAGGGCATGAAGGCCGGGATCGCAGCATCGACGCCGCGCAGCGCGATCACAGCATCGGTGCTAGGTCGCAGCACGGAGAGCGTCCGCGAGCTCTATACTCTGGGCAGGAAGCTCGGGCAGGGCCAATTCGGGGTCACGTATCTGTGCGTGGAGAAGAGCTCCGGGAAGCAGTACGCTTGCAAGACGATCCCCAAGCGCAAGCTCATCTCGCAAGAGGATGTGGACGATGTGCGGCGCGAGATCCAGATAATGCATCACCTCGCCGGGCAGCCCAACGTCGTCCAGATCAAGGGCGCCTACGAGGACGCGGGGTCGGTCCATCTCGTCATGGAGCTGTGCGCCGGCGGGGAGCTCTTCGATCGGATCATCCAGAGGGGGCATTACAGCGAGAGGAAGGCCGCGGAGCTCATCCGGGTGATTGTCGGCGTCGTCCAGGCGTGCCACTCGCTCGGGGTCATGCATCGCGATTTGAAGCCCGAGAATTTCTTGCTGCTCAGCAAGCACGAGGATTCGCTCATGAAGGCCACCGACTTTGGATTGTCTGTGTTCTTCAAGCCAGGTAGGCTACTGCCATCTCTTTCCAGAGTTTCTAGGCGGAATCTTTCCAGCTGAAAATCTTTCTAGACTTGATTGTCACTTTCCTCATCTCTTTTTTCTGTTCTTCCCAACAGGAGAAGTCTTCACGGACGTCGTTGGAAGCCCATACTACGTTGCTCCCGAAGTTCTTCGAAAAAAGTATGGACCAGAGGCGGATGTGTGGAGTGCCGGCGTGATCCTATACATTCTTCTCAGCGGCGTTCCTCCATTCTGGGCTGGTAAGCCAAGCTTTCATCAGACTTTGATCAACTTTCGCTTACATTTCGACCCTTATCGTAGAAACTGAGAAGGGGATATTTGAGCAAGTTCTTAAAGGAGAGATAGACTTTGAGTCGCATCCATGGCCTGTGATCTCGCAGGATGCTAAAGACCTGATACGGAAAATGCTGTGCCCGGTTCCTGCTAACCGCTTGAAAGCTCACGAAGTTCTAGGTGCGTCTCTCTCTCTCTTCTTTCGTTTTGTCATTTGCTAGTCTAGTACATTGCGTTCTCTATAGACGTTCTTGTCATACTGAGCTTTGTTTATAGGCCATCCTTGGGCAAGGGCGGACGGCGTGGCCCCCGATAAGCCTCTGGACTCTGCAGTGCTTTCGAGGATGAAACAATTCTCAGCGATGAACAAAATAAAAAAGATAGCTCTCAGGGTCGGTCTTCTTGTCCTTTCTTGTTTGTTTCTTTCCCGACTGAGGTACTTGTGCTTTGCGTTTCAGGTCATCGCGGAGAGTCTGTCCGAGGAAGAAATAGCAGGCCTGAAGGAGATGTTTAAAATGATGGACACTGACAACAGTGGATCAATCACATTTGACGAGTTGAAAGCTGGCCTGGAGAGGGTGGGGTCGAACTTGGTGGAGTCTGAGATTCGGGACCTCATGGCTGCTGTAAGGCTTTTCTCTTTTGTTTTGTACCGTCGCTAATGGAATGATGACCGACAGGCGGATGTTGATAACAGCGGCACTATTGACTACAAGGAGTTCATTACAGCGACATTGCACTTAAACAAGATTGAGCGCGAGGAACATCTACTTGCGGCATTTGCGTACTTCGACAAAGATAACAGTGGCTACATTACCAAAGACGAGCTGCAGCAAGTATGCGCAGAGAACCACATGGGAGACGAGGTGATTGAAGAGATGATGCGGGAAGCTGATCAAGACAATGTATGGTGGTCACGTTTGTTTTCTCTAAATAATTGTTCTCAATCTTGCAGGATGGACGCATCGACTACAGCGAGTTTGTCACGATGATGAGGAAGGGGGCCGGTGGCATCGGCCGTAAAACCATGCGCAATAGCCTCAGCATCACCTTCAGGGACCTGCTCACTGTTTGACTGACAATTTTCACGTCGATGGGTGTTCGTTACAGGATCAGGATCAGATATTTTTTCTTCTTTTTTGGCCGACGGAAGAACTCGAAGCTTTGGTTTGTAGATACGGGTTCTTTTTCGTTCTTTGTTGATTTCGGTTTTAATCAAGCTGCAGCAATGCGATTGCTACCAGAAGTTGTTACAGGAGCACCTTCCGTTTTCAAAGACGTGAAACCGGCTCGAATCCCTGCAGACAATCTGACGCTGCTCGAGCTTGGAAACACCCGCAATCACCGAGTGACAGTCATCGCAGAATCTCAAGCTCTTGACGACTCGTATAGCAGTTCCTGGTGCCGTGTTGACGAGTGCACAGGCAATGGCTAGCCGCTCGCTGTGTTCACACAGAGCATCTTCTTTGTCAACGTCGGAGATGTTGTGAAAGACACTGCTCAGGTCGGCTACGTGCCCGTTCTCCTTCAACTGAAGTGCCAGAGTTCTCAGCTTCGAGTTTATTGCTTCAATCTGAGGATGGCTCTTGTCACCAACTTTAAAGGCGTGGACGAGTCCGCGATCGTCAGTCCACCAGCTTAGTCCGGGTTTCTTGGAGGTCTGAGCAGCGGACCTGAGATGAAGAACACTGGTTTGCTCGTCCCACATTCCCAGGCTGCCATACAGATTCGACATCAAGAGATACGTTGAATCCTGCTTGGGGTATAACTTCACCAGGTTCTCAAAGGCAACTCTTCCCAACTTGGCGTTCTTCCACTTTCGACAAGCACCCAGGACGGTCTTCCACGTTACTACGGTGGGTTTGAAAGGCATGACAGTGGTCACCATTTCCAGAGCTTCATCCAGATGGTTGGCTCTGCCTAGAAGATCAACCATGCAGTGGTAGTGCTCGATCTCGGGGGCTATGGCGTGACGAGTTACCATCTCTTCGAAGTAACGGCGCCCGTGTTCAACGAGACCGGTATGGCTGCACGCAGTGAGAACGGAGAGGAAAGTGATGCCATTCACGCCGACGCCAGCGTCTTTCATGGCCTGGAAGAGATCGAAGACGCGCTGAGCATCACCCTGGCGACTGTAGCCGGCTATGAGGGAGCTCCAAGAGACCAAGCTACGCCTAGAGCTTCCCATGGCGTGGAAGACTTTCTCGGCTTGAGCCAGGCAGCCACACTTGCCGTAGAAGTCGATCAGCGAGTTTGCCACGAAGCAATCGTTCTGGAAGCCGTGGCTGGAGAGTTCTTGCTGGATTCGTTTCCCAGTCTCAAGATCAGCCAGGCTCGAGCAGGCAGTGAGTGCTGCAACGAAAGTCCGAGCGTCTGGAGAGCAGCCATGGCTCCTCATGCAAGAGAAGAGCTGGAGACATAGCTCGGGTTCGTCATTCTCGGCGTAGCCAGTGAGGAGAGACGTCCAGCAAATCACGTCGTGGCGAGGCATGCTATCGAAGACTGCCCGAGCTTCGATCATGCTTCCACACTTGGCATACGCATCGATCAGAGAGCTGCTGATGAAGATGTTGGAGGCGTAGCCGCGAGCAAGAGCGTCGGAATGGATGGATCGAGTTTTCTCCAGGCCGAGAAGTTTGGTGGAGTCAGTGGAGCGCTCTTCTTTCTCGGCAGCGAGCGAGCAGGCCTTGAGAGCTGCGACGAGGCAGTGAGCGTCGGCTTGACAGGTATTTTGGATCTTCATTCTCTCGAAAAGTTCTAACGCCGTGGCTCCATCGCCAGCGTCTACGTATCCCAGGATGAGTGACGTCCAGGACACCACTGTGGGACGAGCTATGGAATGGAAGACTCGCTGCGCTCGATCCAAGCTCCCACACTTCGCGTAGAGATCCACCAGTGTGTTTGCGACGAAGACGTCCGAGTCGCAGCCGCTGGAACGAGCTAGCGAATGGATCTTCACTGCTCTCTCGAGGTGGTGGTGGAGTTCTCCAGTGCTCTTTCGAAGGTGGCTAGAATCCAGCACTGTTCTTGGCGAGAAATCTCCTGCTTGGACAGTCTCTCCAATATCAAGATGGATAGTTCCTTCGATTGTTCTCTCCGGATCTAGCACCGTTCTTCGCGCAAGGTGATTCTCAGTTCCTTGGAAGTTTTCTCCACCCGGAAGAGCTCTGGCTATGACGAGGCTCACACAGGCCTTGAGAGCCGCGAGGAAGGTCCTGGCATTTGGGCGGCAGCTCGAGCGTAGCATTCGATCGAAGAGCTCCAGCGCCAAATCGCCGTGGCCATTCTCCACGAATCCCAGCATGAGAGCCGTCCAGGCGACGACGCTGTCCTCGCGCATCGCCGCGAAGACCGATTGGGCGTCGCTCATGCTCCCGCATTTGGCGTACGTGTCGACGAGCTTGGATGCGATGAAGACGTCGCTGGTGCGATCGGTCTCGGCAGCATTGGCGTGGATCCTCTTGCCCAGCTCCAAATCCCTGGCGCTGCTACACGCCTTGAGAGCGGTGAGAAGCAGGGGTATGGTGATGATCGAGCTCGACGATTCTTTGATGCTGCAGCGATGCGCTGCCGCTGTAGATCGCGGGAAGCATCGACAGAGCATTGATCGCAAGAAATTTAGGGTTCTTGGGCCGCATTTTAGGGTTCTTGGCGAGAAGGATGAATGGCGGCAAGAATGCGTGACCACCAATGCGCGCGGATGGAGCTGCAAAGCATTGCATAGATTGCTGTAGCAGGAGAAGGAAGAATCGCAGCTCCTCCACCTGGAGGACGCTTGATCGGGTCAGTATTTCGGAAACTTCGTCGCGCGTCACCGATATTTCGTCGCGCGGTGCCATCGATCAGGCATTCGTGTGGATCCTGCTCGACGGACTCAAGGCCTGCATTGCCTCCAAGAATCTCGACGCAGGGAAGAGGATCCATGCCGATTCCGTGGAATCGGGAGCGTTCTTCTCTGGCGCGCACGTCCCCAATGCAATCCTCGGGATGTATTCCAGGTGTGGATCGCTGCCCGACGCTAGAGCAGTGTTTGAGACGATCGCATCGCCGGGCTTGGCCTCGTGGACGGCGCTCATGTCTGGGTATGCCAACAACGATCAAGGCGAGGAGGCTCTCGGCATCTTTGCCCGAATGGAGGAACAGGGATTGGAGGCCGATGCTAAAGCCTACGTCGCGGCGCTCATCGCCTGTGGAAGCTTGGCCGCGAAAGAGACTCCACAGATGGTTGCGGGTGAGAGGAGTTTTAGCGTCAAGCTTGGATCACTGGAGAGAGGGATGGATCTCCACTCTCGAGCGATGAAAAGCGGGTGTTACTCCGACAAGTTCGTGGCTGGCACGCTTGTGGATATGTACTGCAAGTGTGGAAGCTTGCACGATGCTCGCAGAGTTTTCGACCAGATGGTGGCGAGGGACGTGGTTGTGTGGAACAGCTTGATCCTGGGCTATGCCGAGAATGGAGAGGAGGAGCTAGCTCTGGAAGTTTTCTGCCGAATGGACTGCCCGAGCCCGCGGACTTTCCTGGCGGCCGTGATCGCGTGTGGGAACCTGGCCGCCAGAGAAGAGAGCAAGGTGGTGGACGGGAAGCTTGTCAAGGTCCGGAGCTTGGAGAAAGGATTGCTCGTCCACTCTCAGGCCGAGAGAAGCAGCGGTGGAGTGGATATCTTTATTGCTAGCGGCTTGGTCGGGATGTACTCCAAGTGCGGCAGCATGATGAATGCAGGGCTGGTGTTTGAGAAGATCGTCCGCAAGGATTTGGTGCTGTGGAACTCTCTCATTCTCGGCTACATCGACAACTGGGAGTTCGACCTCGCTCTTAAGTCCTTTGAGCGGATGCAAGCGGAGGGCTGCGCACCGAATTGCCGGACTTTCGTGGCTGCTCTCATGGCCTATGGAGGACTCGCCGCTCGAGAAGATCACGGCAGCGAGCCAAGGAAGCAGGCCTTGAAGGCGGAGCTTCTGCGGAAAGTCGAGGCCATTCACGCGCAAGCTGCCAGATCCGGGTGTGAGTTCGACGTCTTCGTGGCCAGCACGTTGGTGGACTCGTATGCAAAGTGTGGGAGCCTGGAGAAATCTCGGGAGGTGTTCGAGAGGATGCCGCTCCATGATCTGGTGACTTGGAACTCGCTCATCATGGGACACGCCGATAACGGTGAAGGCGTGCTCGCTCTCGAGTGGTTCCAACGCATGAGGTCTCAGGGCTGTGTTCCAGACTCTCGGGCCTTCTTGGGAGCGCTGAAAGGTTGCATCGACATAGCCGCCAACTCGAAAGAAGCCGAAGTGGAAGTTGACGAGAACAAGTTCGTGAAGCCTGGCTGCTTGGACAAAGCAATGGCAGTTCACTCTCAGGCGATCGAGTTTGGCTGCGAATCCGACATCTTTGTGGCCAGCGCTCTTGCCGACCTCTACGTGAAATGCGGGAGCTTGTTGGACGCCCGGGTCGTCTTCGACAGGATCCCGTCCCACAACGCGGTGCTGTGGACGACTCTTTTGATGGGATACGCCGAGAAGGACGAGCCCGAGCTGGCTCTGGAGCTCTACTGGAGGATGGAACCCGAGAGCCGTGCCGCCAACACGCGGATCTTCGTTGCTGGCCTCACAGCATCCAGCGGGCTGGCAGCGATTGAGATTGGTCGGAAGATCCATGCGGAGGCGTGCCAGAATGGAGGCGAGAAGGACCAGTTCGTGGCGAACAGCCTGCTCGACATGTACTGCAAGTGTGGGAGCTTGGCCGCGGCGGAGCACGTCTTCGACTCGATGAGCTCGAGAAACGTTGTAACTTGGAGCACGATCATCGCTGGCTATAGCCGGGAGGGCGAGACGGAGCTGGTGTTTGAGCTCTTCCAGGCCATGATCGATGGAGGGATCGGTCTCAACGGGATCACTTGCCTCTCGGTTCTCTCAGCCTGCGGTCACGCCGGCCTGGTCGATCGAGGCACCAAGTTCTTCGGTGAAATGTCCTCAAAGTTTGGAGTGGCTCCGAGCTTGGAGCACTACCACTGCCTGATCGATCTGCTGGGCCGGGCCAACCGAGTAGAGGAGGCTCTGGAGCTGGCGAGCAGCATGCCTACGAGAGCAAGCTCTTTGACGTGGAAGACTGTTCTTGGCGGATGCTGGAAGTGGAAGAACGTTAAGGTTGCCGAGGTTGCGTTTGAGAAGCTCTTGGAATTCGATGACAAGCAGGCGAGTGCGTATATCTTGATGGCAAACATCTATCGGAGTGTAGGGATGGAGAAGGAAGAGCTTAGAGTAGTGAGAATGGGAAAGAACGAGTGTAATGGTATTGACTTCTCTTAAATCACACACTATTTCCTCTAATATTTTTTTTTTTCAAACTCCAAAGCTTTTGGCTTTATAAAATATCGCCATTTTGAACTAACCATAAATTTATTGGTTCATAAAAAGATTCCCTAGATTTCTATCTAGAGAGAATTAACAACTCTGAGGTTTTCAACTTTGAGGTTTTCTGAGGCTCTTCAGATTTTTTGGTAAAGTATTCCCTGTAGCCTCGGCAAACTCCCTCAAAGCTTCAATGGCCTTCTCTTGGCGCACAGCAAGCCGCTCGTCCATATCCATTTCTCCCAACCTATCGCAGCTACCATATAGCATTTCGAGTGGAGACTGCAACATGTAGAAATAAATCAGCATCCCGTGGACAATTGCAGCGATCGATCCCACAAGTAGAAGGGCTTGTCTATGCCATCCCAGCGGTGGAGCAACGGTGCCCAAAACACAGGCAGCCATGTAACTCAAACCCCTCGTCATGTACACCACCATGAACTTGAACAATCCGGGCCCGTCGTACCATCTGTCAGGAGCTGGTTGTAACACCGGAGTGAAAAGTCCACAGCATGATATCGCCAGCAGTGGAAGCATCACCCATTGATTTGTGCTCATTATGGAACACACACCACTGAGAAAACCGCTGGTGCCTCCAACAAGAAAACCATATGCATTGCTTTTCTTTCGACCCAAAAGGGCAACGAAAAATACTGCATGGACGCACTTGTCAGTCAGTCTCGAGAGAGAAAGCAGTGAAACACTTACATGCTACGAAGACGGGAACCAAAGCAGAAGCTCCGCTTCCTTCGGGGAACTCAGGGGGCCAAAATATGGCACCCATATAGAACGCATATATAGTGAAGCAATGGCTAACAAGATTCATCAAGAACTGGCGCCGTATAATCCAGTGCCCACTGAGGTTCCAACTCTCGTAGATATCAGCAAGATCATACTCACCATTTGGGCTCAACAATCCCTGCTCCATAGGGTAACCTAGATTGTCCTCTTTCCCCAAATATATCCTTGACAGTAGCTCATCCGACGGCTATTAGAAAAGGTCTTAGCTGATGTGTGAGACTGATTTGGCTGCCATTTGGCACCCATATCAGCCCTAAACTGCCACGATGATTACACATAGTTTGTGGAAAACGAAAGAAAGAGGAAAGAGCACAATCCCAATCGTGCTCCAGGGCGCGCGTCGACTTCCCTGTGGGGCTTCATCGCCGCGCAACCTGCGATTGAGCCATCAACCAAGGACGAATGTGGGACGAATAAGCGTAATGCCATGCACATCAACGCCAGAATCCTTTGGCTCGTGCTCTCGTGGCCCCGCGAGTTTTATATTTTAAAAAACGCGCGGGATTAGATTTTTAAAATAGGTTACTGATGAAATATCTTTGACTTGGTTTTTTATTTCTGGCAAGAGAACTCAGGAACAACAAGCCGATTACAGAAGCGGACAGCACTCAGTTTTCCTGAGGCTCTTCAAATTTTCTGGGAGAGTCTTCCCTGCGGCCTCTGCAAACCCCCTCAAAGCTTCAATGGCCATCTCTTGTCGAACAGCAAGCCGCTGGTCTATATCCATTCCTCTTAAACCCTCGCAACCACCTAGAATTTCCAGTGGGGACTGCAACATGTAGAAATGAAACAGCATCGCATAGACAATAGCAGCGGTCGATCCCACAAGTGCAACAGCTTGAACTTGCCATCCAACCGGTGGAGCAACGATGGCAGCCACAATACAGGCCAGGTTAGCCATTTGCCTCATTATGAGGACCACCATGAAGATAACCAAACTGCGGCCGTCATTCCAAGCTTCAGGCGAAAGTATTGCTGCTGGAGTGCAAAGTCCACAGAATAATATCACCACCGGCAGAAGCACCACCCACTGATTCGTGATCATTGCGGAAAGAACACCGCTGATGCCCCCAACAAGAAAACCGTATGTCAAAGCTTTCTTTCGACCAAAGCGAACGAGCATACTTACTGCATGGAGCTCTTGTTAGTCTCTAAAAAGGGAAGAAAGAAAACTGACCTGATAACAACATGGCCGGAAAGTAACCTACTGGAGCTAACTGAGGGGATAGCTGAGCGGGCCAATGTATGGTAGCCATATAAAACCCATATGCAGTGAAGCCATGACAGACAAGGTTCATCAAGAACTGGCGCCACATAATCCAGTGGCGACCAAGGTTCCAGCCCTTGTAGATATCAGCAAGATCATACTCACCATTTGGGCTCAGCAATCCCTGCTCCATCAATTCCTCTTTCCCTAAATAGAGAAAGCAGCCCTTTTCTAGTATCTTTGACCGTTCCTTATCCGATATTTCCAGCTCTGAGGTTTAAAAATCACTCATAAAACCTTTTCTTGTATTCTCAGCGTGAACTACGGCACCGATGGCGCTACGAAACTCCAATATCTTACCACCCGCTTTACTCCTTAACTAAGGATCTAAGTCCCAGCCGGGTTTTGGATCAATCAGCTACTCCAAATTCTCGGGGTAAATCAGGCACTGGAGGAGCGACCAAAGTCCAAATAGTATTGCGTTAGAGCCAGTGCGTGGATCAGCCCCAATCCGGTAGAGAGACAACAGCCCTAAAAATAGCGCAGCCTTGAACCGAAACAAGCGTCCCTGTTTTTCTCTCCATGCCTGTGCTTGTCCGGAAGATTTGACAGAAGGAAAGCTGATCCACGCCCGTGAGGAATGCTTTTGTAGACATGTATGGAAAATGCGGCTGTCTAGAGAAAGCTCGCGAACTGTTTGAATCTGAAACAGTGGAGAGGAACTTAGTCAGTTGGAGCGTCATGGTTGCGGCTTACGCACGTGATATCCATGCTGCCACTCCACGCCAGCCGACCCAAGAGGAATCGCAGTTTAGGGTTTGGCACAGGTGCGGGCTGATGTGGCGTTGAGACTGCTGAGGTGGCGGCCGTGCTGGCACAGCTGCCACGCGGATATGCCACAATTGTCCAGCCCCTCATCTTTCCAGCTGGTATATAGGTAGAAAGTATAAATTTTTCCAACGAGAAGATGATAACAAATTGGAGTAGAAATATATACCAATGCATTTTATATTTCCAACAATGTATAGTTTCTTTGGTTTGTTACATTGTTTTAGCAAATGGATATGATAAATGTCCATAATTTATGCCTTGCAAGTATTACTAAGGGAAAGGTCTAGGAATGATGGCTGCACCAGATCCACCAGCAAGCATCACGTCCTGTGCAGAAAGGCTTTCTGCTCTTTCTTGTCGATAGAACCGATGCAAATTATGTGGTCTAGGAAGTCCTACGAGTTGAAGGATCTCGTCAAGGAAAGAGCAATGAGCGCATTCACGAGCTCGTGGATCGGAGTTCCTGGCGTCGGCCTTGCACTCTCTTCTTGGCTTGTGGAGTTTCAAAAGAGGAGTCGAGGAGAAGCTTAAGACCCATAGGGATCTTCTCGCTATAGGCCTGAATTCTCTTCGTTCTAACTGGAGTTCTCGTTCAGGTTCTTCCTTGGTACCTAGAGCGGCCTCCGTCAGGTTTTCGCCCATGTACTTTCAGGTATATGATTGGATACGACAATGAATGTTGTTTCGCAAGGGATCCTGATACTGCGTTCTTCAGGAGGTTGGAACTTGGAAGGCAGCCTGTTTCACACGTTTTTTTTTCTTTGGTTTCATGAAATGCTCGTGCACACAGTTACACCATCGAGCAAAGAACGCAGTGCAAATTGAGGACCATGTAATGGCAAAAGGAACGAAGGTATACGTGATTTTGAAGCTCAGTACCACGACGTAGTTCTGTGAGTTCTTGTCACATTCCTTTTGGGAGATCATGGAAACAAAACGCAGCAATTCTATTCAAAGCCCGCATTTTTTGAAGAACCGGAACAAGATCCCGGAGCTCCAGGAATCGCAGGTTCATTGTCTCCGCTTCTCTGGGCTTCACCAGTGATCAGTAGGAAAACTTCATTGGTTTTTCGTCCAGAAAGAGATCTCTCTTTTCTCTGTGGCTTTGTTTAAGAACGGATGCTCGCGCTAACTCCAGCAATCCTATGTGGCAGAAGGCCAGGGCAATTGAATCCACGAAACCCGGGACCTCGTTCGATCGGATGCACGAGAGCGACATCATCAGCTGGAATTCCATCGTTACAGGCTATCCCTGGTGGGGAAGTGGCACGGTCTCTTTCACAAGGTGGCGGAGAAGAACACGAATGCGCCACGGATGCCGACGCTTGCTGGTGAGATCAGTGCCTGGTGCTTGGGAATCTCTGCGACTACCTAGAACGCAATCTAACGTCGTCATGGAGGGTGATAGGACAATTTTATTTCGCGAACTCCACGTCGAGCAGAGTAAAAAAAAAAACAAAACTCAGCGAGCGAGCGAACTCTACAACAATGTTTGTAGAGTAAAAACTAGAAAGGCCTCAAACTAGCATCAGGCAGGTAAGAATTGCTGCACAGCCCGCGGCAAACATGGTGGACATCTGAAAAACCAACCAAAGTTTTAATCCAGAACGAAGAAGATTAGAAACTTACTAGGATGGCCTTGTTGTTATCAAGGGTCGCAAACCAAGCCCATGCCACGTTACAAGCCAGAGACATGGTTTTAGAGTGGCACCACCCAGCTCCAACGGGCACTGCTGTGAGGGAGGGTCGCCACTCGAACAGCAAGGGGAGCAAGCATCGAGGCTGCTGTGGTCGCACAACCAATGAAACCAAGGACGTCGATCTTGAAGCAGAACTCCTTCTCCTTCCCGTCGTAGAACTTGCGCAACAGGTACACTAGACAGTAGTGACTGATCCCAAGCACCGGGGGCCAGAAGAGGGGCTTCCATGTAGCCTTCCATGCATATGCAGCATAGAAAACTCCCGTGATGAATCCCAGGAGATTCACCACCTCGACCACACGATCGTTGTGCTCACGGCCGAAAATATACCAAGATATCGAATTTATCTCTGGAGAGAAAAAAAAAAAAACGTTGCAAACTGGAATGGAAATGAAAAAAAGAAAACGCACCGGAGAGGCCGAAGAAAACGCTCGACTGAATCCCCGTCTCAAGGAATGGTAGGGGAATCAGGAAGAGGACGACGGTGATCGAGACAGCTGCACGCTAAACAAAGAAACACACACTTGTTCCAGGACAAGCGAGCATTGGTTTCTTACTCGGATGTTCTTCTTCGGCACCGCGCCCAGGATCTTGCTCATTGCGCCTCCGGCAGTCCCTGGTGCTGCGCCCAGGAGAGTGTCGCTCGCCGCTTCACCACCAGCGCCATGATCGGCCGCCGTCACGGGGAGCGCATCGGCGCCGCCCGCCATTCCCCCGGACCACCGACATTGCTTGTAACTAGGGTTTTTCTACCTGTCGACTGCCCCGAATCGCGCAAAGAGGTAATGTTCATTCCAGTCTCCTTTGCGGATCAACAGTAGTTCTTATCGCGCAGTGAGTGCTTCGTTCAAGCGAGCAACTCAAAAAGCGCCTTCCACTGTCAGCATTTTTCCAAGCTCCAGGATCCAGGCGAAGCAAAGGATCCAGGCGAAGATCCGCAGAGACTGGCGAAGTGCAGTGTGCAGGGAAGAAGACGACGAGAGATGTGTATCTTTGGCTGTTTTATATTGTTTTACTCGTGTTGGGAAACGTGCAGAGACAAGGGTCAGCATAAATATTCTGGACAGCATTTGCAGCTTCACTGTTGCTGCAGGCGAAGGAGGGAACCAGACTGTGACGGGAGAATTGGAGTCTCTGTCTGTCTGTCTACGCATCAACATCAAGGCTGAAAGGATAACCGTACGCACGGATGAGGTGTGCTTGACATGAACACGCGCCTGATTTACGTAAGAGTTCTTTCTTCTGATTCTACACTGTTTTGCTCTCAAGTGCTGGAAAATTGGAGTTCCTGACCCTTCGTCTCACGGATGGATTGACGAGGAGAACGTGCTGAAGTCTCATCCAGATTGAGTGAGAAATCGTTCCAGACAGATGGAAACATGAAGTTCTTCTGGCAGCCATACAAAAAAGATGGATCTATATAACCGGAGGAAGCTACACGGTTGGACGAGTTTATCTCAGGATCCAGATGAACTAGAGCAGAGGCAGCAGTCGTACATGGAAAAAGCAGATGGAACGGGAGAAGAAGACGAAACGGAAAGAAGAAATAAAGCTGAGAACTGAAAGTGAAGATGCCATTGAAGAGGAGGTCCCACAGCTGGACAAGGTTGAAAAGGCGGGAGGCGAAGCAGACAGATTGCCGCACAGAAGCTAAAAAGAAGGGGCCTGAGAAGATGGAAAAGCTGGAAAAGCCGGAACAGCCAACTCGTAGTAGAAGAAGAAGAAGAAGAGCCTTCAAGTCTTAGCGGTGAGGACACCAAGAGAAGGTTTGGTGAAGAGGACAGCAACAGCCGGACGAGAAATTCTCGGATAACCTCCAGCAACTCCTACGACATTTGCGGCAATCACAAAGTCAAGCTTTTACTTTTCCGATGCTCAACAGGAGAAGCAAGCCTCTCAGGTGGTGGAGAGAAGACGAACAACCTCCCAAAGTCAGCCTTCTTCGGACCTGTCTTCTCGAGAGCGCATGGAACCTGTGACGTTAACTTGTGCCACGAAAAAGTCCCTCGTCACGCTTAGAACCACGAGGAGTTGCAATAGCTCTCGAAAGGAGGAAGTAAAACCAAGAGTTACTCGTGGAAGATCTTAGAGTGGGACGTTTATTCGATTGCGATTCCAGTCTAGTGGCACTGGAAGAAATGGAAACAGGAAACATTTAGGAGCAGCCAAACCATTCGAGGGGTCAGCCACGTCGACTAACTGTCGGGGATTACAGGACGAGCCGCCTGGCCAAGCTGATCGGCGCTGCATGTCTGTGCTACTCAGACATGCTGACATGCACGGCTCGATGAAATTGTCCACGCACATCTGGAGCTCTATGAGTCGGAAAGCTGCGTTATCATACGTCATTCAGAAAGCTGAAAGTCCGTTAGCGCGATCTTGTTTATTTTTTCTTTTTACGATTTCAAGGGGTATTCTTCACCGGGAGAGTTGACCCTCTGGATGATCAGTCGCCGCCGCAATCTTTTCGTTTTCTAAAACGTTTGTGACGTGAACTTGCTGGGCCAATGCTGGGAATGAGAAGAATGCTCGTATCCGTTGCCGTGGAAGCAGTTGCCTTCACGAAGGCTTGCTTGGAGCATGCGGTTATTCAATTCTGTTGTCATTTTAGGACTTTTGTTTACACAGCCTAGCTTTCTAAGAGTGGGAAAGTTTACGAAACTATAAATTTATTAGTTCAAGACATTTAAATCTCTAGATGAGAGGCTAGAAAACTGTCTTTTTATGAGGCTAGACAATTCAGAGGAAATGCTCAGATATGACAACTCTGAGGTTTTATGAGGCTCTTCAGATTTTTTGGTAAAGTATTCCCTGTAGCCTTGGCAAACTCCCTCAAAGCTTCAATGGTCTTCTCTTGGCGCACAGCAAGCCGCTCATCCATATCCATTTCTCCCAATCTATCGCAGCGACCATATAGCATTTCTAGTGGAGACTGCAACATGTAGAAATGAATCAACATCCCGTGGACAATTGCAGCGATCGATCCCACAAGTAAAAGGGCTTGTCTATGCCATCCTAGCGGTGGAGCAACGGTGCCCAAAATACAGGCAGCCATGCAACTCGTAATCATCGTCATGTACACCACTATGAACTTGAACAATCCGGGCCCGTCATACCATTTGTCAGGAAGTTGCATTACCGGAGTGAGAAGTCCACAGCATGATATCGCCAGCAGCGGAAGCATCACCCATTGATTTGTGCTCATTATGGAACACACACCACTGAGAAAACCGCTGGTGCCTCCAACAAGAAGACCATATGCATTACTTTTCTTTCGACCCAAAAGGGCATAGAAAAATACTGCATGGACGCACTTGTCAGTCTCGAGAGAGAAAACAGTGAAACACTTACATGATACGAAGACGGGAACCAAAGCAGAAGCTCCGCTTCCTTCGGGGAACTCAGGGGGCCAAAATATGGCACCCATATAGAACCCATATATAGTGAAGCAATGACAAACAAGATTTATCAAGAACTGGCGCCGTATAATCCAGTGCCCACTGAGGTTCCAACTCTCGTAGATATCAGCAAGATCATACTCACCATTTGGGCTCAACAATCCCTGCTCCATAGGGTAACTTAGATTGTCCTTCGCCAAATATATCCTCGACTGTATCTCATCCGACGGCTATTAGAAAAGGTCATTAGACCACCCATATCAGCCCTAAACTGCAATTCAATAGAACTGGCAATTCGTGTCAGGCAAATGCGCTCCATCCTCGTGTTTAAGGATTCTGCTTAAAATTCATGGTTGAGGCGCATAAAAGACACTGGAATGAATTGATAAGTAAGGCAGCGAAGCATAGCTATGCTGCTCTAGAATCCATGATCAAGAAGCATGAAACCTGTTTTGTAGCAGCACGGTGACATCGTGACGCAAACATTGTTCTTGTGGACATGTCCACCAGGGCATGTCGTCACTTCTTTGTTTAAAAGTCCAGCTAAAAATATTTTAACCTTGATATTGTGTTGTTAACTAGGGTTTCTAGTATTGAGAAAAGTAGGCCTGGATCACGTCGTTGGAGCAGTGCGGCGGGAACGCCGCCATGACATAGCGCGATTCATCAGTGGCCACGCCCGCGCTCCACTCGAAATCCAGGCCCTGGAACTTGTCACGCACGGGAAAGCCCGGCTGGAGCCCCAAGATGAGGGGCGTCTTGTCGTCGATCAAGCTCGCCCTGAAGAGCGCCGGCTGCTCCGGATTGACTGTGAGAGAGGAGAGGTAGCTGTTTACGTAATTGTAGAGCGCCCCGCCATCGTTCTCGTACACCACCACGGACCTACTACTCGCCATACCTCTCAAGAACCCTAAACTATTCAAGTCAACTGCGCATTAAACACGTGGCAAATTTGTCCATGTGGCACAACAGCGTGGCACCGGTCAATGACACGTGACAGGATTTAAAGAACAAAGAGATTAGGATTAATTCGATTCTTCCAGTGCACCAAATGTTACAGCCTCTTCATGCGACGACATGCGCCTCCTACAGTCTCCTCCAACAATGGAATTGGATTTCCCTCCAGACAAAATCCACAATCCTCTAAAGCCATGGAGATCTCAACCTGGGCAACAAGGAATTTTCACCTGACAAGAGAAAGCGAGGGATAAACACGCGTACCAAATCTAGTTCGTCGCATCCCAAGGACTCAAAGGTGTCTTCCTGGTGGACAGCTTCTATTCCACACTGCTCCGCCACACTCTTGATAAGCAGGTCTCGGCCATCGTCCGGGAATGGCATGTAGAGCGATCTGGGTCGGCTGGCTTGCAGTGGTTGCATCGATATCACGCGGCTGCTGGCTGACCTGGTCGCGCTCAAGCGCAACTTGGGAAGACTGGCAACCAGAGGCACTGGCGGGAGACGCTGCATTTCGACCCTAATTTACTTTGATCAACTAAACCTCTGGCATTGACTACGCGTGTCAAAGCCAAAGACAATATCCACGATTCACAACCTGGAT